GTCGACTTCTTGATAAGGGCACAGTTTGAAAAGCCAGACATGGATAGTCAGTGTTCAGAGGACCGTCTGAGCCTCAGGGAGCAGTAGGACCAGGATATGCAGATGGCGGTGAGCATGGCAGCTTGGAACCAGTCTCGCCAGTTTTGATAAGAGAAGTGAACAGTTTCCTTCCTCTCTTCAGAGAAGAGGGCAGAGCAAGAGCCTTTTTGGTGAGATGTCCGATTTCAAAATAAGTCTCTTTCACTTTAACTTATACGTAGTTTGAACTATGAAAATAAAGTTTCATAATTGATACCTTGCTATAAACGTCATTGCTGTTTTGGTAACTGTAAAATGTAGGTCATGATTTTAATTAGAATATGTTTTTCGAAAACCAAGGCTGACTGGTTTTACTTATGTACAGAACTATGCTTGGACCCATGTGGCAGTCAGGCAGCCTATGGAATGTGCAAATGACCCGAGCGAGAGAATGCTTCTAGAAAACTCTAAATGTTGAACAGTGATGAGTCTTAGCTGAAGACATTACTGGTCTCTGGAGTCTTCTGAGCTTCAGACAGTGCTTCCTGTAACAGAGTAATTTAGAAAGACGGTGGCTTTCTGTCACAGGGATGTGGGCCCCGACATCACCTCTCTGTTTTGGTAGTTGATTGGCCTGGAGTAGATCATTAAACCTTTTTCAGCTCCTTTTCTTATTTATCTCATATGTAATGGAGATAAAAATAGTATCTAATAGGGTGGTTTGAAGGATCAAATGAAATTATTAATTGTTTCTCAAATGTGACATTCAGTAAATCAGTTAGATGATGGGTCATCGGGTCACCAGGATAGAATCTAAATCCTATTCAGTCTTAATTTGTCGATAACCTGTGGGACATAGAGTCCCCTAATACATTTTCTACCTCTGGGGTTAGTAGGAAGCGTTTACCTTATTTGGAATGCATGCTTCAATAGACAGCTCTTGTCCAACCAAGCCCATCTCTACAGACCCCTCTTGCATCCATGTATCTCATTAATTGTATGAAGATCCATGTTATCTCAAAAACATACTTTCTTTCATATTTTATTCAAAATACCTTCCATTAGTGAAAAAAAATTGTTTTAAAGCAGAAAATAATTTGGTCCTGTGTCTTGGTTTGGGCTAATCTGTGATACTCATTCATTTTAGTAAGGAATAAGTAGGTCTTACACTTAGGTCTTCCATATACCATTTCTGGCTAGAATTTCACATTCTATTTTTTATTATGTTTAAGGAGTTTTGTTTTTTTTGTTGTGAAAATTTTCAAGTATACAGAAAAATGGGTAAAATAATATGAATACTCAT